GGACGAAGAGAAAGGGGAGAGGAGAAGGGTTTTAAATTTGGCTTTTGCATTTGTGATCTCCTGACAGATGTACTGTGTGTGCCGTCACAAGCTGCTGGTTGCAAGACAAGATGCAAGCAGTGGGTGGGGGACATGACAGATAGATGCCCTTCCTGGAAAGAGTCAAAGTCCCTGCGTCTTTTTGAAGGATCAAGAGAAAGGCGCCCCAATGATCTCGGCACCCAAACAGGCTCATAGAGGGAGATGTGGTCCCCGAGCGAGCTCTGGCCCAGGCCGTTTACGGCTTTATAGGTTTAGAACCAGCTCTTTGAATTCTGATTGAAATGTGAATTTGACTTTTGAAAAATGCGCAAGGGGAGGGAGATAAGCCAAATTACTGCAAAGAAGGAAACCTGCAGAGCTCCCTATTGATAGGTGATCCAGCCAGGCTTTTGATTATAGCCCAGGAGAGACTGTAAACCGATATTTTAGTATTAACCTTTCAGTGACTCTCTACTTGTGCATTGAACTACATTTCTACTTTTATTTTTTTGCTATCTCTTCGCAGCCCTTCTAAAAAGCTGACCCTGTCTGACGTAGTAATATCCAGCCATTTCTAATAAAGATCGGTAAAAGAAAATCATTGGGAGAAGTGGTTTCTATCCACCAATTCATTTCCAACTTTTAATTTCCGCGCACCCTACACTGAGCTAAGTTCTGTATTGCTAAAGGATAAAATCTTCCTCGTTATCATCATCACCTTAGAACTAAAAAGCTGGAAGGGACTCAATGGATCCTGGAGTCCAGACCGTCAAGGAGGCATAGTAGAGAATCGAACTCACTCCCTCTGGCTGGCTCCACAGCCAGATGCCTAAACTCCCCTGAGCTGTCCAGCAGTTGGCGAACCAAGTTGGATTGACAACCAAAAAACACTTGGGTGGAAGAATAGGTAAGGTAAAGGTTCCCCTTGACAATTTTTGTCCAGTCGCGTCCGACTCTAGGGGGCGGTGCTCATTTCCATTTCCAACCCATAGAGCCAGTGTTTTGGTCAGAAGACAATCTTCCGTGGTCACGTGGCCAGCACGACCTAGACACGGAACGCCGTGACCTTCCCACCGAGGTAGTCCCTATTTATTGACTTGCATTTTTACATGCTTTCGAACTGCTAGGTTGGCAGGTCTCCTGACCTGGCAGCACAGAGGCTTCTGCAGCTTAATCCCACAGCGCCACCATGTCCTATGGGTGGAAGGATAGCTGCATTTAATTCTACACGGACAAATAGTTGTTGCAGGTTTTGCATCAGCTTTTTAAAAAAACACCCTGCAATACCTGTTGGGTAAGAGGAAATACCCCATCAGACAGCAGGACCAAAAGAAAAAAGAAAAAGAAAAGAAAATGAACCCCATGAGAGATGAGATCATTCGCCAACCACCGTGTGCAAAATCTAATTTTTGTCTCTGGTTTTCAAATAGAGACAAGAACAGAACGGTTGTGAGTCACCCACCCGATGAAAATGTGTCTGGCTTCCCGAGACGGCCAGAAAATCCACAGCGAGGACGCCGTCGTCGGCAGAAAGATGCAAGCCAAAAGAGAAGGGGACTAACGGCCAAAAGCCGGCAGGACGTAAGCTTGGTCTGTGCAATGGATTAAGCTCAGAGCCTGCACTTGGACCGGTTTGAGTCTGAGCGGTTCCCGAGGCCACTGGCAGGAGGGACACACTTTGGGGAAAAGCCTTGTTTCAGCCGCAGCGAAAGGAAGAAATAAGGAAATCCTTCATTGCCAGTCCCATTGCTGGCTAGCTGCGGCTTCGTTCCCTCGGCCACTGCAGGAGTCCGGACCGAGCCGAGTCTGGAAACCATACTCCTTGGGGATCACACATCTCATCCAGCGTCCCAGCCAGCCAATGTGGCCACAAGCTGCAGGATTCTGGGAGTTGTGGTCTTCAAAAAGAACCTTCTCTAAGCTCTCAAGGAGCAGCTGTGCCATTCTACTGTTGATTTTATTCCCTTTAAAAAATATATATAATACTTGTTAATTTTATTTTATTATTATTAATATTGGTATACTTTGTTTTTAGCTTTGAGAAGTTCCTTTTTAAAAGAGGTAAGCTTGCCTTGGGTCCTTTTTAAGGAGAGAGGCAGGATAAAAACATTTTAAACAAACAAACAAACAAATACTGAAACACCCACCCACCCCCCACACATTTTACTTCTAGTAAATGAGAACTCTGCTTTGCAGGAGCCCAACACAGAACTTGGAACACACCCTTTTTTCCTCCTATGGTTTTTGACTACAACTCCAGTGTTCCTGCCAAATTATTGGAACCAATGGTCCACAAAAGTAGTTTTCCACAACTCTGCTGAAAAGACCCTTTTGCTCCTCTATACAATCAAACCAAGCCCAGGTCTATCTACCCTCTACCCAATTGTTCCTTCCCACCTCTGAATTCAAGAATAGCCCTGCCTCTCCACTCTGGGTCACTTTCCCCCATCTGTTGGAAGCACTGAATCTGTTCAGGTCTGCTGTTGAAAGCAGTCATGTTTGCCCGTTTGCTGTTCAATCTGTTCAACTGTGAGTAAAAGAAATGTTTTTTATTCTTTCTCTTACATTGGAATTGACTTTTTTTGAGCCCGATCTTTTTCCAACCCATGTTGGGTCTTGCAGGCACAAGCCAGGTGCTGGTGACCCAGCTTTCGCCTGGGAGCGATTAGCAACGACACCCTAAACCACCCACCCCGGGCACCCCCCACTCATCATTGCCTTACCCAAGGAGCCGCCAGCGCCTTGATTTTCTCGGCTTCGCCATCGCTCACAAAGTGGTGGTAGAGAGCCAGGTCGGGTTGCCGGTGGAGCATCTCCCTCTTCAGGGGCTGGAGGAGCAGGAAGGGGTCCCTGTGGGTCTCGTAGGAGCAGTGGAGGCCGGGCTGATGGGAGCCGGTGGACTGAAAGAGGAAAGGTGACCTTGCAGCAGGAAAGACTAGCCACCAAATCAGCCATAAGAAGGGGCTTTCTGTCTGTGGGCGCTGCAACTGAATGTCGTAGTGCAGAGTTGCCCTGTGCAGTGAGCCACTCCGCCACTCCTCTACCACGCCAAGTGGACCTGAGGAGGCCTAAACCGTAGCTTTATTAAGAAACGCTAGCCTATAGCTGAAGCCGTCCCATTGCATTCAAAATTATAATAAAAACAAACAAACCCTGTGTTTCCCAGAGCTTGGAAATGTTATGCTTTAGGATTACAATTTCCAGAATCCCTGAGCCACCCCCATACTCCACCCCCCAAGAATCTCCCGCTAAACCTCAGTCAAAGAACTTGGATCTGTAGATTATGGACATTTCTTTTCTCTTTTTTCTAGATGACTGAAAAAGAGACCGAAGAGTCTTAGCAACCAAGAAATAAACTGGACCGCCTTCTCCAGGTTTACTCAGAAAGAAGGTTTGCTTTGTATCTGCCCTGTTACTTCCCTGAAGAAGATGCTTTAACCAGCGGCTCCCAACCTCAGGTCACCTGGATGTCCCTGGACTCAATCTCCCAGAAGCCTTCAGCATCAGCTGTGCTGGCCAGGATTTCTGGGAGTTGCAGTCCAAGAACATCTGGAGACCCAGAGATGGCAGCCATTGACTCAGAAAGGAGCCTGCTTTGTATTTAGCAGTACTACTTCCCAGGAGAACATACGGCTCAGAACCCGGACTTTGGAAAAGTCACATTTCTTGGACTACCATGAGAGGCTGGATAGGGGATTGTGGGAGTCGTAGTCCAGCCAGGTCCCGTGTTTTCACCCACGCCACAAAAGTGTTTCAATTTTCTGCCCCGATTCATGGGTTCTTTCTTCCCCATTGCAGGTCCGTGTCATTTCTGTCCAGGTGGGCAGAAGATTCACCTCTGGCACGAGGTGCTTCCATTAACAGGTGGGCTCTCTAAGGCTGCTTCTCTCACCCACCTGAGAGTCCAAGGTCTGGCACAGGGCTTCGTAAATGTCTCTCGTCTCCAAGTGGGTCACGTTCGGCCTCTGCAAGACGGGCGCTCTGTTCCCGCGACCCGGGTGGGCCGTCAAAAGCTTCTCGTACTTCTGGATGTTCCTGGCTACTCTCTTGTTGCTCGGATCTGCTCGAGAGAAAGGGTCGGTCAGTCTTGAACCCAGAGCTTGGATTTCTGAGTGTGGGAAGGCTTGAACTACAACTCCCTGGTTTCTGGCTTGGGGATTATTGGGGTAGGTGGGTTATATATACCCTGATCCCCAGGATAGCATCTTCAGCAGTGAACCAAAGACGGTGATCAGTCCTGCCTTTCGCACACAGAAACAGAATAAATAAAGATACCTACACACACACCCCCAGGCTGCTTTTGAAAAGGCAGGTGTAGGGCCATTTTTTAAAAAAACTAACGTTGGCAAGACAATCTCGCGTGTGTGTCCACTACAGTGCATCGGCCTGCCCTCCTGTGGCTTAGGGCGGTCAGTTGTCTAGAGTCAGCCCATTGAATCCATGGGGTTTGGGTGAGTCAGCTCCTCCCTACGTTCTGTTCTGCTCTAGTTTGTTTGTTTTTTTATTCCTTTACAAT